ATCTCAGTGTGCGGATTGCATTTGTACTTTAGAGTCAGTGTTCGCATATCTCTTTGTTTAGTCCCCAACTTTTAATTCATTCAAATCTTCACTTCTACCAGCTTTCCTTTTTCTCAATGCCTCATTTCCCAAAACTTCAATCTTACAGAAGAAAAGATGTCGGAGACACCAAAGCGAGTCGCTAAGCATCCATTGAAGAGTGTGAACGTAATGCCGCCAAAACCAGCAGAACCACGACCAAAAAAGGAACGGAAACCGCTATATGTGCCGCCACCACCTAAAGGTAATGTAATTGCTTTTTGCGAAAAAACCTTGAAGAAGAAGAATGGCCAATGCGTAGAGTTGAGGGTCGAAAGATGGGGAAGGAAGAATTATAGTCTTCGCAACCACTTGACTGTGAAAGATACCGATAATTAGAAATAAGATTAAAGTTTTTCGCATAAAATAGATCTGCTAAGGCTACGCTCTCCCATTAATATACAAAAAATATATAATGTACCATCTTGTAAACCTACATTTCAATTTTTGTAATTCCTTATCTCTCACAGAGGTAAAGAAGGTGCTTGCAGAGCGAAAGGAGGTAAAAACATCAACACCCAACCTTAAAAGTGGCGAGAAGACCATCGAAACTCCGAATGTCTCCAAGATTGAAGATGCAACTCCAGCACGGCAAATTAAAAGTACGTCAACCACAACCTTTTAAAACCATTTTTTAAACTTTGCGCTTTCTGTGGTGTTCAATCTTACCTATACTACAAGAAACTCATGTGTTAATTTGATTTTGATATAATAATGTCATAGTGTGAATTCGCCGAATCTGTTGTAAGCGAATTTTTAAGGAGTTTGTTACTATTAGGCGCAGACCTTTGTTACCTCTATAAATTACTTTTTCGTTTTTCTAGGTAAGCCCCAGTTCCCAACGTCGTCATTTGCAGGTGGAAAGCCGCTAGTTAAAACGCGGCATAGCACCACGAAGTTGAATGGAACAGCAGCACCCACAGAGATCTGTATGTTTTAATCGGTTTTCATCTCCCGAAATTGGTAGAAATGAGA